CCGAAATTGCTGACACTTGTCGGGGGTGGGCACGCGATGATTGACCCTTTGCGATGGTGTGGCGTTGATTATCGACCCTCGAAGTCTATTCGCCTCTCACATGCGATGACGCATCTGGCCATGCTTTAGCTCACCCGAGAAGCTCGTGCTTGTCTCGGTCCCATGGAGAAATGGTTACCATGTAAGAGTCGGTCCGACTTTCGGTATTAATTTCGTTTCTCCTCCCACTGGCAGCGCCCGGACGAAACTCATTTAGCGGCGGTGAGCGACGAGCTCGGTTTCGTGAGTGTTGTCAACACGCTGCCGACGCTTTCCATGTGCGCGCAAATGGATAGCGGGTCCGACTGTAACGCGTACACGACGCGGCCATCGACCACGTGGCTTGCACACGACAACTCCGTGTTCGACGTGTGCTGGCTCAAGGTACCGGGAAGAGTGAGCGGTACGGGGGAGGGTGAGCGGTACGGGGGAAGAGTGAGCGGTACGGGTGAGATTCCAGCGGCACGGGGGAGGGTGAGCGGTACGGGGGAGAGTGAGCGGTACGGGGAAGAGTCAACGATACGGCCTGCGCCGCATAGCCTCTGCCTTCCTGCGCCGCGCATCCATCGTCGCCCTTACCTCTCCCGTGCCGCGTGCACTCGCGCTTGTAACCCCCACCTCGCCTCTCCTTCCCGACTGTCGCTGCGGGTCGCCTCAGACCGCTGCTGACCCTTTGTCCCTCCTCGCGCCTTCCGGTCTGCGTCGTCTGCTTGTCGTTCGATTCCGTCCTTCACGGCAGGGCGGCCGTCGCCTCCTCGCGACTTGTTGCGATCGCGCTGGCAGGTGCCGCCGTGCGATCACGTCGATTCCTTCCTTTTTGTTCCTTGCCTGTTGCATCGTTACCCGTTTCCGCTCTCATCGTTGCCCTTCTTCGGTTATTTCGTCAAAATGGCCGTCGATCGCACGGCGTCGTGTTCGCAGGTGGCACCGAGCTATTGCGGCAATTTGCGCCCGAACATGTCCTTGCCTTGGCCCACCGAAAATTGCGTCTATACCCATCTCCCTGTTCCTTCCTCAGGACGGTCGTCGCCTCCTCGCGTGTTCCGGCGATCGCACGGCGTCGTGCTGGCAGGTGGCGCCGAGCGGCTCGGCGCGACTGGCCGCGCTGCGAGGCCATGGCGCCACCGTCAAATGCGCTGCTGCGCATCCCACCAACCCAGGCACGTGTCATCTGGGATAGGTGGGAGGTTTCACGATCTATGAAGTATGCGAGATAATGGCGTGTGGTAGACGCTTCTCTCGGCCAAAAACGACCGAATCCAACCGTTTTATATCTTCAGTTTTCCACCGCTGCGCGAGATTTGGGCACACGCCCGCATACCCGTTACAGAGTAAAAGCAGGGGTCGACCTGTTTAGATGGAGTGCAATCGCATGCAAAAAAATGTCTAATTTTGACACCTACAATCTCCAGAAGCATAGATGCTGTGAATTTCCATTGTTTTCATATTGTTCACAACATTCTTCGAGTTTCGACCATTCTTCGAATTCTCTCATGGTCTTTCAAGTGTCGACCACCTCACATTCCATCGTTCAACCATTGCATTGCAATGCAACGCATTACCAGCCCTCACGCCATCCTGTAAAGTGCGCTACTTCCCCTCTCCTTCCCACCCCTCGCTTTCCTTCCGCTTCACTCACCAGATTCTGTCGCAACAGCGGCTAGAGACGGCGCCGTTCTGCTGTGGGACCTTCGCACCTCCTCCCAGCCTACCGGGTGATTGCTCGCTCCTCCTCGCCTCCGCGTTAACTCACACCCTGCTATTCTGCTCTATGCATTCCGTTGTGCCTTGAGCTTCGGGCCACGTGCCCTGTGGCCCTTGCAACCGGCTTGTGACACGTGCTTTGTGCTGCCCCATATGCCCTGTCAACCCTCCCCTTATTGCTCGTTATTTCTCTGCCCCGCACACCACTTGTCAGAGCCATACCGCGGGCACATCTCCCTGAAACCACCCGCCCTTCATGGCGCCACCCGCTGCTGCTGCCCCCTGTACGTCCCTACTCTCCCTGCCGCCCCCTCCACCCCTTCCCCCCCCGTCCTCCTACTTTCTCCCATATCTCTTCACTCTTTCCCCTTATCTCGAACTCCGCCACCCTCATCTCCCCCTATCACCCCGTTCCCTCAACCTATGCCCATTAATCCCCCCTATCCCCCGACCTAATTCCCTCTATCTCTCCCTCTTTTTCCCTCCCTTGTTCTGTTCCTCTTTCCCCACTTTTGTCCTTTCATCCTGCCTCTCTCCCTGCCCTCCCCCCCCCGTCTCCCTTCACGCTCAGCAGCAGCAGCGCAAGCCTAAGCCTCAGCAGCAGAGGGTGCGCATCCGCCCCGTGGTGGGTTGCTCTGTCACCGCTGTGCTCTTCTCCCATGACGCCCGCATGCTCTTCACTGCTGGCGCCTCTGACGGGTGGGTGGTTGGGATGGGATGGGATGTGATGGGATTACTTGGATGGGTGGGGTGGGTGGGGGTTTCTGTGCTGTGCTGGGCCGTGCCATTCGATGCGGTGCTGTGCTGTGCCGTGCCATGCGGTGCTGTGCTGTGCTGTGCTGTGCCATGCGGTGCTGTGCTGTGCCGTGCCATGCGGTGCTGTGCTGCTTAGTTGCGGAAGACGCCAGGACCGTCCTGCGTCTAGCGTCTAGACGCTAGATGCAGGACGCACCCGTAGACGCTAGACGCAAGGGGGAAAAGTTTTTGGGCAGGCAGGAAGAAAAAATTGGGGGGAAAAATCAAGACCTAAGAAGAAATTGCCTCAAATGTTAGCTACGTCCATATCCCCCCCCTCCCCATGCGCAATGGAAGGTTTTTTTGGCTGTCCGTACTTTTTTTTGCCTGCCCGTGCTTGCGTCTAACCCAGCGTCTAATCAGCCCTAGACGCGTCTTCCGCAACTAAGCTGTGCTGTGTCGTGTCATGCGGTGCTGTGCTGTGCCGTGCCATGCGGTGCTGTGCTGTGCCGTGCCATGCGGTGCTGTGCTGTGCCGTGCCATGCGGTGCTGTGCTGTGCCGTGCCATGCGGTGCTGTGCTGTGTCGTGTCATGCGGTGCTGTGCTGTGCCGTGTCATGCGGTGCTGTGCTGTGCCGTGCCATGCGGTGCTGTGCTGTGCCGTGTCATGCGGTGCTGTGCTGTGCCGTGCCATGCGGCGCTGTGCTGTGTCGTGTCATGCAATGCTGTGCTGTGACGTGCCATGCCATGCGGTGCTGTGCTGTGCCGTGCCATGCGGTGCTGTGCTGTGTCATGTCATGCGGTGCTGTGCTGTGCCGTGTCATGCGGTGCTGTGCTGTACCGTGCCATGTGGTGCTGTGCTGTGCCGTGCCATGCGGTGCTGTGCTGTGCCGTGCCATGCGGTGCTGTGCCGTGCTATGGGTTGGGATGAGTGGGATGGGATGGGATGGGATGGGATGGGATGGGATGGGATGGGATGGGATGGGATGGGATGGGTGGGATGGGATGGGATGGGATGGGATGGGACGGGATGGGACGGGGTGGGACGGGGGGGACGGGACGGGGCGGGACGGGGCGGGACGGGGCGGGACGGGGCGGGGCGGGGCGGGGCGGGGCGGGCCGGGGCGGGCCGGGGCGGGCCGGGGCGGGGCGGGGCGGGGCGGGGCGGGGCGGGGCGGGGCGGGGCGGGGCGGGGAGGGAGGGGACGGGACGGGACGGGACGGGACGGGACGGGACGGGACGGGACGGGATGAGTTGTATGGGTTGAGTGAACGAATGGTGACACCGAGAATCAGTCCGGCATCACTTGCGCTAAGGTGCAGCTCCGTTGCTCAGCGTGCAGCTCGTTGCTGAGCGTGCAGCTGTTGGGTTGGGTGCACTCAGATTGCTGGGTTCCAATGAGGAGTACAAAAGGTTGGATTCATGCTTCTCGGGCTTCTGTGCTCCCCTCGCTC